GGTCAGCGTCGCCGTCGTCGCGGGTACGTGTTGCGTGCGGCGTCGTGTGAGTCTAATAATAAATTAATATAAAAATAATATTATTACAACTGTCGTAGTCTGTAACGCCGAATCGAATGACGGCACTAGACGAACATGATAATAATAATATATAACTACGATCGGTACACGAACATTATCGTCGTTGTAAATTGTAATTCTATGGATGCCGTCGGACAGGGTGCGCACTCAATAGAAGTAAAACATGCACTGTGCACGACAACAGTCTGCAGCAGCTGCAGCTGGCGACTTATTAGTTATTATTACATACATCTTTCGGTATCACGGCGTAGATACCGTCCACGGTTTGAGATATTATTATGTTCGTACAATCATTATAGGCATTATCTTAAATAGTTAAATCGTGATACCATCAATATAGGAGCGACACACTCGACTAGCAGGACGTCGGGTTCTTGTTCGACAGCAGCGACACTCGATCTGATGTACGACCCACCGAAAAATAATATGAAAACTATCCCTCGCGGAGCACACCGACACGAGTTTATACCACGACGGACCACTGGCAACGAACAGTTTGGGCTCATTGGATTTTAGCACTTGGTATTTTAAAATGTAATTCAAACTACCTACTCTCCAAACGCTTATGATATTATACATTTCTGAGAACAATCGCTGATTTTCCAGTAGTTTTGAATATGCATGCTATAAAAAAAAAAAATAATAATAAAATTATGTTTTTAAGATACATATAGTTTCTTTAATCGAAGCCATGTAAATGCGACGATTTGATGCATTATTTTACCTCATCCGCCCGAGTAACCAATGATAACCAAATAACAATTTATAAACAAAAAAAGGTGCTCTGCTGTACAGTAGGTGGTTACAAGTGGGTCACTGTATAATGGATGGTATTAAATTTGAATTCAATGATATTATAATATCATATTGTATAAGTAAAACGATTCTGAGCGGAGACGGTATGTCAGTCTAGGTATAAAACATATTATTATATACTTATCTATGGTATTAAAAAAAATTGACCTATAATAGGTACTTATAATAAATTCCAAATTAATCATATCACAATATCCTTAGGTACTTACAACGTGTTATAACAACAAACCCTGATACTATCATAGATATATATAGTAAATTACTTTAGAAGTTTCAAGTACCCACGAATAATATTATACAATCACAACAAAATAACTAAAATAGTTATTCTAGGTTTTTAATGTGTAATTCCATCCAAATTTGAACTTAAAATGACTATAAAAATAAACTGGGCTTATGTATTTTTAGATTTTTTGGTAACAGAATTAACTACTTATATGGAATCTTGTTTTAAATTTTCAATCCTTAGATATAAAAGTTGAATATTTTAGAAATTTTTAACTACAAAATAATTATTCAATTTTAAATTTGATAAATTTTGTCAAAAATTCGATCTTTAAATGCTTATAAAAAAAAAATTGTGCCTATGTATTTTTAATATATATCAACTGATATTGTAACAATATATCAGGAGCCTTGCATTAAATTTTTAAGCTTTTTTACCCAACAAATAAAACTTAATTGATATTTATAGAAAAAAAAAACTAAAAAAATTGAAAACTGACAATGTCCGTAAACAGCTCAAAAAGAGTCAACTTATTTTAAAAATTGTATGGTGTATAGAAAATACTAATATAAATATTCAGTGAAATTTTCATGTATCTACAGTCATTCGTTTTTTAATTACAACAAAATAAGAAAATCCGCTACACGAGAAATCGAGTGAATATCCAATGTTGTAAAAATTTCAATTTCAAACCCTCATAAAAATTTAATTTGACCTTCTTAAAGACATTTTTTTTTTTGATAAATGTAGAAAATCTTATAAGGAATCTTGTATTACATTTTAAAATCTTAGATTTAAAAAGAAAAATTTTTACGAATTCTCAACTCAAAATAATTAGCTAATTTTCGTGATTTTTCCACATTTTGTCAATTTTTGAACTTTAAATGATTCCTTATAAAAAAAAACTGTGACTAAGGATTTTTAATATTTTTCATCTGCCTTTGAAACAATATACTAGGAGCATTCTATTAAATTTTTAAGTTTTATTAACCAATAAATAAAATTTTATTGATATTTTTAGAAAAAAAACTAAAAAAAAAATGGAAAATGAAAATGTCCCTAAACAGTTCGAAATAAATCAAAATATTTTGAAAATGGTATCATGTATAGAAAATGCAAATATAAACAACCAGTGAAAATTTCATGTATCTACGGTAATTTGTTTTATAGTTACACCAAAAACCAAATTCAATTTTGTGAAAAATCGATTTTGCGTAAAAATTCCAGTTTTTCCTTAAATTTTATTTTATTTTTCTTGGCGCTTTTGAAAATTACTGTGAACTTTAAATTTTTACCTCCCCAATGCACCAAGGATATTCACTTTCCAATCGAACAAGATACTGAAGTTAAAAATCGAAGCATATTATTTCGACTACTTATCCTGTACACAGACACAAAAAAAAATAAAAAAAGTTAAAAAAAAACACACATCATTGTAAAATCAATACATTCATCGTTTCGCTCAGAATCTAATATAAAAACTAAAAGTTTTATACAAAATTGATTTTATTATTTTGTTGTAATGCAATAACGAAAAACTGTATATAGATAGGTACAGTGCGTACGTCTTTATAAGTTAATACGAATAATAACTCCTGCCTAATTAATTATATCAACAAGAGTGATATAATATTATTGTTCAATCTACACTATGGCTATTACAAAATCCACTATGCAGAAGACTGCGTTATTAGGTTTTATTGTTTGGATGCTTTTGTATTAATTTTTATTTGTACAATTAAATATAATATAATTTAAATGTTTATTCTCATAATATTAAAATTAATTATAAAAAAACTTACCTTTTAACAACGTTTCCTCAGGAGTTTATTTGAAAAATATGCTGTGCTACATGTAAAATTTAAATAGGTAATATAAAAACAAATGTTCACCGTAGGAAGTCAATAAGCAGACAAACGGTAAAGTTCTTTTTTTTCCTTGAAATGTTATAAAATTCTTATTCCCACCCAAAAAACATTCCTTAACATTTCTTTAACAGGCCCACTATAATTATAAATGTATTAAATATATGGGTGTATTTACTGTATTTATATATTATATTATTATGTATATGCCTATGCTTATTACCATATATTCCACAATACACGTGGGCACCGTACAGATTGAAGTTCTCAATAATTCGAATACCAGCTATTGGTAAACCTATAATACATAGTGTTATCATTTGACAAATTGACATATTAGGCAGTAGGGTCAGATTGGTCACCTTAATGAGTTTCAAGCTCCACACCACAGTTTTGCTGATGTGGCGATCTGGAGTATCCTGAGAAAACGATCAAAACCGTCAATTAATTAACGAAATTGAATTTTTCATATAGTTTTTCATATAGTTATATATTTTATTATATTTAGTTCTAATTTAATAAAATTATGCGCAGAAATGCAATATATTAAATAAATAATTCATGATATATAAAGGAATTATTCAGTTATCACTTAATAGTTAATAATATACTAATATACCAATATACTAATATACTAATACAGCGTATTATTCTTTTCAAATAAAATCATAAAAATAAATTGCTTATACAGGATTCAAAAAACAAAACTATTTGTTAAACAAGTTTATTTAATGTATCACAATTCACAACAATTAGTAAGGTATCGCAAAAAAAATGTACATTTCATAATAGAGCTAAACAATTTAAATCGTTGACATTATATACAATAAAAATTAAAACATTATTAAATAACTTTGTAATGAATGAAAAGGATCGGGAATTGGATTATCGAGTTAAATTCATAGTTATTATCCAACTAGTCTGTTTTTTTTTTTTATAATTTCCTCTAAAATATTTATTTTTATATATTTTTAATTTTTATAAATTTCAATTAATATTTTATATAGGTACCTACTACAAACCTATTTTCGACAATAAACATTAAACATACACACTAAACGGTATTACAAAATATACCCAATCCATGAATTATATACTATTTTGGATATACCTCGATAACTCGAATCGGTTGGGGGCGAAAAAAAAATTCGAGTTATCGAAAATTCGACTTATGGAAAACCTCGATAACTCGAATCTGCAAAAAAAATTCTTAGTTATTACTCTTAGAGTTATTGAAAATATTTTTTTTATTTAAAGAAGACTTCAATTTTTTAATTATTTATTTATGTATGTATTTACTAATAAATGTATAATGTATGTACTATGTAGGTATGTATATTGTATACTAATAAAGTAGATAAACGTAACTTATCGGAGATATAGATTAGGTATAGACATACATATTACATAATACAATATCGTTGAATTTATAACTGTTCCTTTTGTAGTATAGGTAATGATAAGATTGCTGATTGATAATAGTAATCGGTTTTCGATTACGATTTTCGTTATTTATAATAATATACATATGTACTTGGTTATTTGACCTTCGAGTTATCGAGATAGGTAATTGTACGAATTATATTTTATTATATAAATTCGAGTTATAAGCTAAAATTCAACTAAAATTACTTCGACTTATCGAGAAATTCGAGTTAGCGAAATTCGAATTATCGAGAAAATGTATCACACATATCATATATTGGAAGCCAGGGGCCAAGGTATTCCTTCGAGTTATCGAAAATTCGACTTATAGAGGTTCGAGTTATCGAGGTTCCACTGTAATTCTATAAATTTCCATTATATATTTATACTATTATTTAGGTCATTAATTATTTTAAATTTGTTTTGGTTGCTTATTAATTATTTATATTAATTTTAATTTTATACATGTTATCTTTTATTCGTTTTTATTACTTTTAAGAATATAGATCATAAATTCATAACCTATACCTATACTTTTAAAGCTCATATATATAGTTTTAATTCAAAAATTTTAGATATTCGTTTAATTATGAAATATATTTAATCATACACGTTCCACTTTTATCTTTTAACAAAGGAAATAGAAAATTTTTTTCATTGTCTACTGCATCATTACAATTATATACACGATTTCCTGTAAAACCAACTTTTTCAGCTAATTTTTGAGCAGTGTTACTAGTAAAAAGACTGATTGTATATTTCAAATTATATTTTTTTCCAACATAATTTCTTAATTCCAACAGCTGTAGAGCTAAGCCAATGTTGCGGTAATCTTTACGAACAAATAACATATCTGATGCCAGATAATCTTTATTGCCAATTAATTGTTCAGCATAACTCTTGAAAACAGTTTGTAGGTAGTTATTAATTTGTTCGTAGTAAGTTGAGATTGATTGCATAGAATTCATTGATTTATTATTCATGCGAAATAATAAATTAAGACCTACTAATTTATTTTCATCGTTTTCTATATATTCAAATACGCCAATTGACATTTTTTGAGCTAAATATTTTCTATATTTATTTTCCATATCTAATAAAGATACTGGATCATTCAAGAAATTACAAGTACGGTATATAATTTCTTCAGAAAAAAATTCATGTGCATATTTATTAATAATTTCATCATAATAATGTTCTGGTATTTCTTGAAATATAAATTTTTTCATTTGACCACAGTGGGGAATATCTATTATTTTCCATATTTGTGGAAAACTATTTTCCATTATGATGTGTGAGTATCTATAGTAATTTTAATATATTTAAATTCCTAACAGGCCCATACAAATATATTTTCTATTAATTATATTCTTTTTATCGTATGATAAACTTGATAATTAAAAGAAGATAGGTAAGTCAAATGAGGTATGAATATTTTTTATAGGTAAAGACGTACATTCATTACGAATATCTGAACTGATGCTTTCTGGAAAACCAATTGCTGTTTACTGAGAGTGGTTCAAACCAATTACACTGCTGTCTCTGCAAACACTGTCAACAAAATGGAATTTTAATATTATAGTTTTAGTACATTTTGTTTAAGATATCAACCTCTTATTAATTATTATAACACATCATTATGTAGTCTCCAATTTATTTGCAAGTATGTTATATCTCAAATTTACGTTTAGTTTTGTACGTAGTTATATTTATCTATTTTCTATGGTTATATTGACAATAAAACAAATTTAATACTGATAACATTATCTGTGTTCTGTCAGAGGTGTAAGGGAGAGGGCGTAACCGTTTTCCGCAAAAGCTTGTATTACGATTTCTACCAAAAAAAATGTATAAATTATTTAAGATATTTTTTGAGAACCCTTCATATCAGTTATATCCCGCCATATTATTATTATTATTATATAAATAATTCAAGGCAAATAAGAAATGAAGAACACCAACATTCAAAAATACATTCATGGGTTCGGGTTTGTTGAACAAAAATCTTTTTCATATAGTAAATATTCAATGTGTTAAAATATGTTTGGATTTTTGTCTTGTATTATGATTTATGAAATTTTAATTTTTATAATTTAATGTATTATTTGGACGAGAAACTTGTGATAATGTAATGTTCTAGTGGTCGCCGCTTAATGTAATCACTTTGTTACGGGACATAACTGATAACATAATCTGATTGATAACAATAAATGAAAGTTAAAAAAGTCATAAAAAATAATAAAACTTACGTTACGAAAAAAAAAATAATAATAATAAATTATTATTAATAATGTAGTGTTTCGTCAAATTGTATAATCATAACACATAGTTATTAAAAATTTAATTATTTTATTTATTATTATTTATTTCTAATTAAAGTACATAATATGTAGGTATAAATTGATAATTTAAAATTAAAAAAATAAATAAATAAAATGTAAATAAATATATATATACTAACTTGAACAATATTTTTTTATTAATGTCTGTTTTTTTGTTGTAGCATTGACATTTTATCATAAATTGCTAGGTCATTTCTTTTTCGTTTTTCATTAATTTTTCCGCACACGCGACACGGATGCATACATACTCGATACTGGTCGACGGGCAGCGACGGTACTGTCTTAATGGTGTACGAACGAAATGTAGATATAAAATATGCGATATCAATGTGTATAGACATTTTTATATTAATTAAAATTGTTATCTTTATTGTGAGCCATTCGAAGAAAACTTTGATTGTTTGTAACATTGTTACATAATGATGATTTTATGATCTTAAACTGATAATATTATGCTGCGTATTGATTACAATATATTTTATTTAAAACGATTGAAAAAAATGTTTAAAATAAAATTATTATTTAATTTAAAATTCCGAACAGTTATTATTTTAGTTTATTTAACAAGATAACATTTTTCACTTATTATATACTATGGTCAATAGTCATACTATAGGGCTCGGCAGAGACTAAAATATAATTTTTTTCGTACTACACATTTTATATTATTAAACTTTTAGTTACCGCGAGGGGCTTTGCCACCCCATCGAAAAAAGTGTATTGAATCTATACACATAAACAATAAACATAGAGTAATCAATTTCTATTTTATCTTTATCTACTACAGAGTATAGACTACATCTCAAGTTAACGATTTATCTCCGTATATTGGTACGATAATTAATTCGGTATTATACATAATATTGCAATAAATGCACAGAACTATAATAATACTATATGTATACAATACCTATTATAGACAGTGAATTGCGAAATAAAAATCCCCGATTCTAGGAAAAAACATCCCAGACTTCAATATTAGGTACTCACATAATCACATGAAATTGATTGATTAAATGTTTTTTAAAAGCTAATTAATGTAATTACCACATTGTTAATATTTAATTATAAATAAACACAAGGTTTAGGAATAGCTATATTATTAAAAAAATGATTGTATAATAAATAGTGTTCAAACATTAACAATAACATTATTTTGTTTTTGATTTGAAACAACATAAGTAAATATGTTAATGGTTCTTTTAAAAAAAAATATAGGTGAATACATTCAGTAACTATTGTTTGATAATTATTTGTAATTTGTATCGATTATTCGAAATATTTTTATTTTGTAATATTTTAAATATTGTATCTATAAGTAAAACTTGTAAAATCGACTCTGAATAATACTAATAATACGTAATATATAATAATACGTAATAATTATTATTAATATTTAAAATTCTTATCTATCTATTTCCCAACGAAACATCAAATAATTTTTCAATTAATGAAGAAAAAAGTGTAAAAAAAAGCTAGTATAGTAGTTATTACAGGCCATTACACTCTTTTTAATTTCGTATTCCACACTTAGTATTTCGTACTACACAAAGTGTGTCGTACTACACACAATTTTAGTCCCTGGGGCTCGGAAGTTGAGGCATTTCGCATTTTTTTTTGGAACTTTTAAGACGATGCTCTTCTGGCCACAAATGCGTTTCATTAGTATGTGAATCTGAAAAACTAAATTTTATTTTGCATTTCTTAGCTTTTTTTACTTTTAAGTCATTTTTGGACATTTTTCGACATTTTTAGTCATTTTTACTGATTTCATACTAGTTCAATTCTTAACGTTTCTTGTCTATGCCTATAACTTATAACTTGGAAATTACCACGGACTAAGATTAGTACCTATCCGATTTTATCTCGCCGATTTCATTTTGTCGTTGTCGTGTTGTAGTGAATATTATTATACCTAAATTGTATTAATTTTTCCTAATAATCGATTATTATCCGATTTTATCTTGCCGATTACAGTCGTCACGTCGTTTTCAAACAAATATTTTTTATTTAATTTTTAAGGACATTATTTCTCATATTTGTCATATTTTGAGAAATTTGTAAGCTTTGATAAATGTATATAGAATTTTATAGTAAAATAGAGTAAAATATTTTAAAAAAGTGTATTTTTATAAGTTTAAAACAAATATTTGTAATTTTTTTAGGTCATTTTTTGAGGACATTTTTCGTCATTTTTATGTCATATTTGCATTTTTTTTAGGTCATTTTTAGGTCAAGTATTCTGTAAAAATGGGAAGGAAAACTTTAGTTTAGTGAAGTACTTCCCCAAAAAACTCCAAGACCCAACTAGTGTATTACCTAAAATAACCCGAAACCCAATTCAAGTAGGAATAGGAATATTCTAATATATGGATCCAACTACTTGGATGCAGCCTTCCTCGCATATTTAAAATGTTGACTTATCCATACGAATGAGAGTAATAAATTGTACCTAGATTTTATTATGATTCTAACATTAAAGAATAAAGAAGTACCTACCTATAGTAATTCTACTTCACATTCTCTTGTTTCGTTAATTGTGTGTAAGTATCCAAATTATAATATGTTCTTTATCAAATATGGATAATCATAATTATAATCGCTACTATACAATTTTAAAACACACATGCGGGGCATTATGGCCATGGTGGCCGGGTAATTACTCTCAGAAATAATATTGTAAAAAGCAAAAATCGTGAGAAGAATAACAATTAATTACTTTTAAAAGATCCGGTCAACATTTTTCTGCAACTGAATTAAGTTACTATTTTGAAGGCTATTATGCTTATGTATTTTTAATTTATTTTATTATTTTAAGTTCATGTTTTGTTGTTAATTGTATAAGTGCGCACTTCGTCATACCCCTATACTGCTTTCCTTATATTGTATTACAATTTATACATACTATAAAGTTTTTACCAGTTATTAACCGTACATAATATAATATATCATAATATAAGATTTGTTAAAACTAATTAATTATATTGATTCAACTATACGTCAATTTCTAGCTCTTACAGCTAACTAATCTCCTTTTAGCATTTAAAATTTGGACATAGAAAATGATAAAAATGGTACCCAATATTATATTAATGATTCAAATAATTACCTAACTCCGTGGGGAAATGATTTATCACAGTGAACAACATGGGTTCGGGACTTCAGGTATTAGAATAATATAGGTACACGAATCTTAAGCCTATGAACTTAAGCATCTAAGACTCTTTAAACACTTGAACACGTTTTACGTAAGATATACGATACTATATTATGATTCAATTAAAATCAAATAGGTACCTATAATCGTTTATTATAATTTTTTTTTTAATTCGTTAGCAACAAACAAAACAAAATTGTTCTACAAATTGCCTTTTTCATCAAAGTGCAGTACCCAACCCGTGCCGGTGTTGTGTATGGTTGTCACGTAACGAATGATAACTGCTCCCGTTTTGCTGGTGTGGAGCGCAGGAGTATCCTGAAAAAACGATCAAAACCGTCAATCAATTAACGAAATTTAACTCCATATTTAATTTTATAACAGGTTATATATTATATATAATATTATACTCACTCCACCACAGTATTTAGCAACAAGCGACGATTGTCCAGTCGACTGATCGACGTCGTGCATTTCCAAATAATCGGTGTTGCATGTCGTTCTCGCACCAAGGTTAAACTCTATAAGTTTTGAAAAATAAAACAGTAACGACATGAAAAACAAAATATAACAATAATGCGGCGTACACCACATATTTTACGAACTCATGTGACTATTTAATTGTATGATTTATCACCTACACAAGAAATTTTATAATATTTCATTAAGACTATCTACAGGGTGATTTGATAAACTATTTTGATTTACTATATCTAAAATATATAAGTTAAGGGTTTGAAAATATATTTATTTTTTTTACACAGTTCAAGTCATTATTAAACGAAAC